ATGATTTTATTACATTAATATTTTATTCATAATTTATTACCTAACTATATAGTTCCCATGATTATACATTGGCATTCCTTTTAAAATAGGTATTGATAATCTATTCTTTTCAGTAAGAAATGCAAATTTATCTTCTGTGACAGGAGTATTTAATGGAGCACCTAATTCTTTCCAATTAGGAAATAATTCATTTAAAGCTATTGGATCTAAACAAGCTCCACTAAGAATATGACCACCAATAGTAGGAGCTTTTTCAACAACTGTAACTTTTAGATCTTTTCCATATTTTTCTGCTAATTTACGTATTTGAATTGCAGCAGATAATCCTGCTGGACCACCTCCCACAATTAAAATATCAGTTTCATCTATATATCTTTCCATATTTACATCTATAAATCATTTAATATTTCAGTTTTATAATCCATTATTAATAACTCATTATTAATAAATAATTTATATTTATTATATTTAATTTCATATTTATAAATCATATCATCATATACCTTTCCATCTTTGATCTAATTCTCTTGGTACAATAGTATAATGAGTTGTAATTTTTGGAAATTTTTCTTGTGAATAAACTCTTTGAAATATCCATTGAAACTTCTGTACTATCAAGAAAATAAGAAATTAATAATATTAATAATTAATGCATTTTATTTAAAATTTTCAATTGAAAAACGAATTCTTAAGTTATACTATATTATTATTAATATTAATATTATACTTAATATTGACTAATATTATATACATATATATTTTAAATATTTATAGAATTTTTTAAAAATATATCATATATTTATATCTTTTCATCATATTATTTTCTTTACCATGTGTAATTTGACAAATTATATAATTATAAATAGATCAGTATAACAAAAAAATGTAACAGTAAAAATTTAAAGAAAATCTGTCTGATTATCACAATATATTTCTACTTATATTTTTATATACATAATTAAAAAATTTATTGCAATATAAAAAATATATATAATTGATGTATGATATAAAAATATGTTTATATGAATGAATATATATGTATATCATAAGTCTAAAGTTCATTACAATTAAATATAATATTAGATAAGAGTATGTATATTTTTAATGTTATTGTAGTTAATTAAATAATAATAAAATTAAATTTAACTAATTTTTGGAAAATTTAATAATAAAATAATATTTTTTATACAAGAACACAACATATATATAACATATTTAATATAAAGAATTTTAATATACTTTTTATAAAATCTTATAATTATAAGTATATATTACAATTATATTTATCTTATTTAATTAATAATATAAAAAATATATTAATAATTATTTCTGCGATTTTATAATTTAGAATTAATTATCATAAGAACTACAATAAATTATAATATAATATATATATTTTTATTATTAACATATATATAATGAATTTATTATAAAGATTTTTAAAAAATATTATTAAACAAAAACAAATTTTAATTTTATCATATTGAATTGAATTAATATTATCAATAGACCTACGATTATTTAATGTATTAAATATCACTCGAGACATAATTACACATCACCACGAACGAACTGATAATACTATACTGTGTTACTATTCAGTTATATTATATATACTATATTAACTATTGCTGTAAATCAAAATCGCCAAAACTAAAATTATCAATAAATCTTGAATTTAATTCTTTTGAATATATGAATATATGAATATAAATATATGAATATAAATATATGTGATATATATAAATGATAATAAATGATATATATATATATATATTATTAAATCATTATATATATATATAATGATTTAATGAATATAAATATATATAAATATATATATAATTCAAGAAATTTGTTTTAATTAATTTCATATCTAATATAATATAATAAAATTAATGAAAACTAAATTACCTAATAATGAAAACATAAAATTGTGAAAAATCATTCTTATTGAAACATTTTATAAAATTTACCTAATATTTATTATATTTTATTTAATAAACAGATGATCGCTTTTTTATCGAGTCCAATCTTAATAAAAGTTTTATCTAATCCATTCTTAATAAATCCAAAAAAATTACATTAGATGAGTAAATCTACATTATATAAATTGATATATACATATACACATAAATGTATATAAATTAGGCTACATCTAGATTATTAAAATTTTACATAAAATATTTTTTGTCTAATAATACTTTGTTTTATTTAAATAAAATCTTACAAATATTGATGTGATTCGAACAATTTTTAAAAAATCAAACATTTCGAATTTTTGCTAATTCTAAAATGTTAATTTTTTATTTAGCAATATGTTTTAAGTAGTAAATAGTTTAATATATTAAAAATTTTTTTTTTTAATATCTGTTTTTAATAAACGACGTTATATTTCTCATATGAATTTATCATTTTCTTGTTTATTGTATTAATTTTTGCTTTTTTTAATTCTCAATTCTATTCATTTTAAGAATGACTATATCCCTATAAAATATTCGTTATTATAACATTATTTAGTAACTATATATATTCAAATATCACAAATTTAAAATACATATTTAAAATATATATTTAAAATATTTTTTTTATTTTATTTTATAATATTTAGAAAATAAACATATTTCTTTATTTTGTAATGTTTAAATAAATTTAAATATAATAAATAAAGTAAATTTTTCATAAAAATTTTTATTTTTTAATTTTTATTTTTGAGCACTGTAAATGTAAATATAAAATATTGCTTGATAAAATTATTTTATATATTATCTTTAGTATAATATAATAAAATTAAATACAAAACAATTTTTTTTATTATTAAAACATAATATTTTAATAATATATTTATTGAAAAAAGCACATACTTTTATAAAAATATAAATTTCAAAAAAAGAAAAAATTTTTTAAATGTTTATTATCATTGCATATTATTGAATAATCATAAATTTTGATTGACAACTTTTGTTTGTTATATATTATATTATATACTGTAAAATAATATAATATAGTATAATATTAAGTATAATATTAAAATATAATAATATAATTCAAGAAAAAAAAATCATAGAAAACAAGACTAAGTGAATGTATACAAATTAAAAAAGGCTACCATAAAAACTAATTAGAAGTAGTTTGAAAATAATTCTTTCAAAATCTCCGAATGTGGATTACTATTTATATTCGTATTATATAAATTTTTTAAAACTAAATAAAATCTAATATTCCATATACTTACATTTTAAATTTTTTTATATATATTTTTAATAATATAAAATTTTTTTATATAACTTCATTCATATTATTCTTTCTAACCTCTAAAATTCGAGAGCTCCTATACCTTGTATTTTAAATATATTCATATCTTTTTATTTTAATTTTAATTTTATTTTAAATTCAAAATTATTTTTATTTTTATTTTATTTTTATCTATCTTTGTATACGATTTCATTTTAAAATGCTTGTTTATATTTTTTTTAGAATTTTTTCATCTAATGTGTATATCTAGGAAATGTACATACTATTCAAAATGTTAATAAAAAAAATTATTAGTCTAGTACAATTTCTAACCTATTTATGATTCTTATAATGGTAACAAAACAATTATTAAATATTATAGAAATAATATTAAAATGTTAAATGTTACATTTTTATTAGTTAATTATATCTTATAAACAATAAATTTTAGAGAGATAAGAAATAAATATTAGATGTTATTAATATATCTATTATCTTGTTGCATTTATTTTTTATTTTTATTCATTCTATTTATCAATAAAAATAATTGCTAAAAAATAATTTAATTGAAAAAACAATTGAGCTGATTGATGATTATATAAAAGAATATTTTTTAATAATATAATAATATATAAAATCTATATGTATATACTATTAGTTTCGAGAAACAAAATTTAGATTTATTTTGACATTTTATCGCAAATTCAAATTACAAACTTATAAAGATAAATTTTTTGAATTACCTCTTTTTAATATATAAATAATTTGTATTATTATATGTATAAATTAAAATATTAAAACTTCATTTTAAATAAATCAAAACTTCTAAAAAATTTAGAGTTAAGATAATGTTTCTTAAATCTTATTTCAAAATTTAAATTAGTATAAAATATAAAAATTCATAAAAACAAAACAAAACACTTTTCAGTAAATATTATATATGAAATATTCAAATGTTAATATAAATTAAATATTATTAAATTGTGAATAATAATATAATTGTAATTATAATTAAAATTATGAAATATTAATATTATTTTACTTTCATTTAGAAGATATATAAAAAAAATATTTCATTTTTTAAATATAGATATTTTTTAACTTAAAATAATACAATAATTTTCAACTTTTAATAGCATTCATTTTACTTTGAGAATCAATAATTATAAAATAAATAATTCTGAAAATATTATATGTGAAAAATAAATATGTATGCATCATAAAGATGATATATGAATTAATTCTTCTTATTTTATTTCATTATTGTATAGATAATATTCAATATAAAATGTTATTGTGATTATTTAAAAAGATATTCATATAAATATTTTTATATATGTACATATATTTATATATAATTATATATTATTTAAAAGCGTCTTAATTAGATAAATGAAATAAGATTATATAATCTAATAAATTAAGATTTATGAAAATTAAAAATTTAATTATCAATGATTTAATTATATATAAATATGTATATGTATTACTAATAATATCTTGAAAAAATGAAAAATTTAACTAGATATTAATATTGATTGATTTACATTTAAAATATCTTACATTTTAATTTATAATGCATATAACAAAACAAATAAAATCAATTTTCTAATTTTTTAAATATCTTATTTGATATTTTATTATAAATATAATAAAAAAATTTGATAAAATGTAATCAAAACCAAGTTACATAAAATTTATAATAAATGTCATAATGAAGAACATTACGACTAACATGAACTGCAATACAGAAACAGAACAGAAAATGATAATATCGATTGTCATTAATATCGAAGATATCGATTAAATGAAGTCATTTTCTAAATACAAAACAGAACGGACGTATCTTTTTCTGCTATTAATTTTGAAACAAAACATAATTTAAATTTAAAAGATTTTTCAAATCGAAATGAAATTATATAGTTGAATTCAATTTTGAATAATCTGAAAAATAATCAAAGAAGTCAACACACTCAGTACCGATCCTTTTAATCAGGTAATCAAAGTTTTGGTCGTGTTTTTAAGCATTTGTTCGCGTTCCATTTCAAATTACCATTTCAAATTATAAAATTATAAAACAAAATTTCTCTCTTTCAGAAGTCAAAATGTGCAATATATCCAAATAATATGCAGATAAAGAAAAATCTAAAAATGGAGTTAGTAATTATTTATTTAAACTCAGTCACAAAAATTTCATTATTTACATTAATATTTGAATGAATATTTAGAGTATTTACAGAGTGGCCACTTATCCTGTCCGTTCTCGCTGTTCTATTATTATTTATTGAAGATAGTGATCTGCTAAATTTCTGAAGATATTCTTCAAGACAAGATAATCCGAGATAATGGACGATAGACCCATCGATGGAGTTTCGAAAATTCAACTAATTTCAAAAAAAGAAAGTTTGTATCTCTTTTTTCTTTAAAAAAAAAAGTTCTTCGGAATTCCATTTTTGACATCAGTATTGCGTTCGGTCCTTCATTTTATTTATTTATTTATATAAATATTTATATTTTATATAGCAATTCAATTTTTACACAGAGAACAAAGAAGAGTATATCCATTCTACTCCGTGTCTGACTTTGTTTCATATTTTCGATATCAATAACAACTGATATTTACCGGCGCGATTCATAATGCTCTATATTATTCAACTATCAATATTCATAACAATATATTTGTATAGTTTGTTTTATTCAAGTATTCAGTATTAATCACATAATAATTATCATATCACGATTATAATTAATAATAATAAAAATACATTATGTAAAATTATATAATCTATTCGAGCTTATATAAAAAAAAAAAAATATTTATATATAATAATTTCTAAAAGAACATATTTTAATATATTGAAAATCTAAATAATTACATAAAAAAGATTGATTCAATGAAAAAAATTAATTTAATATGAATTGCACATTGACAAATTGTAAAATAATTATTAATTTTAAGAAGGATTTATATATTTATTATTAATAAACATTTTTTATGTAATATATGAGCAAATATATTTAATGTAAAATAAAATGTATCATTAATTATTTTAAAAAAACTTATGAGTTAAATTAGAATTTAAATCAATATTATTAATATTAAATTATGTATAATTATTTGTATCAATGAAATAAGATTTATAATATAATATAAATAGAATTAAAAAAAAATATAAGAAATAGCAGAAATCAAATATTAAAAAATATAAAAAAAAATGAAAAAAGTTAAAGAATAAAATAATATAAAAAATAATATATATTAATATTATATTTATTATAATAAATATTAATATTATAAAAATAAATAAAATATATATAAATATCTATATTAATACATTAATACATTGTCTCATTGATTATGAATAAACATTAAACTTTTTATTTATATTACACCAATCTCAAAATTAAAGATCAAAAATTTTTGTTTCTATATAGATATTTAGCTTTATTAATTATTAATTAAGAAAAAATAAAAATATTTCGTATTAGTTAACAATAATTTATTCTATATTAAGACATTTTCATTTTTGATCAATTATGCTAATGTATGCATAGAACGATTTTGTGTTTATTTTTAATTTTATATACAATATAAATAATACAAAACTTATTTTTAAGATTAAAAATATTTTAAGAATAATTAATTTATTTTGTCTCACAATTTCAACATTAATAAGTTTTAATTCATTTTTTAATTAATCGTTGTTTTTTGTATTTATGTAATTTCTATTATTATATTACTATTATTATAATAATTACAGAAATAAAAATGTTTACATTTAGGAATATCTTAAATTAAAAGTTAAACAATTAAAAAAAAACTTTATTAACTATTTATTTTAAATGCAATGAGTGAATTCTTCTCATTAAGATTTCTTAGTAATTACTTAAATATAATATTGAAATATATATAATATATAATTTGTCTTTTTAAAATTGAAACTGAATTAAATTAAATTTTATAAATATAATAATCAGCTCAAATTAAATGTATTAAATAATTATTAAATAATATTAAGTAATAATATATATATATATTTTTACTTATTGAAATGAAATGATATTGATATTATAATTATAATTATATATTATAATTAAAAAAAATATATATTTTGAGAAATGAATTGACAGAATTATTGTAATAAAAAGATAGCTTTACTTTTTATTTGAGAAAAAAGAATAAAAACCAATTAAGAATTAATTATCAGAATAATCAAAATAGTTCCAAACGTAGAGATACTAAAAATATTTAATTAATATTTGTAGTAAAAACTTTATTTATATTTTAGAATATAAAAACTATTTTTTTTATTTTTCTTTTAAAAACATAATTTAAATATTAGAACTACCTTTTTTTATTAAAAAGTAGAAAAAAATTAGCAACAACAATTATAGAATAAATAATATAATTACTATAATATATATATATATATAATAAATATTGTATAATATATTTAAAAACGATAATATTTTAATTATATGATAAAATATAACATCATAGATTGAAATCATTTTTATATTCATTTTTTATAACATAATTGATATCAATTATCCATTTGATATCAAATTATCTAATTTAATTATCAAATTATTAATTACTCTAATATAAAATTAAATATTTTTTTTTTAAATTTTAATATATTTTTTGCAAAAAATTTTGCAATTTTTATATTATTATTTATTATTTTTATATTCTTATAAACTGATTGAAGATTAATTATCATAATTAATATTTCCTTTTTGATATCTACAATATTTTTATTCCTCAATACATGTAAAATTAGATATTTATTACATTAATTGAAATTATTATTTGGATCATTATTTTATTAATTGAAAATTATTATTGATCGCGTTTTGATCAAATAAAAGTTCATATTTTTTTTTAAAATATGTAACAGAAAGTATAAAAAGATTAGAGTTTTCTTTATTAATGTAAAGTCTTTATTCTTATTTTCATTAATTTAAATTAATGAAAATATAAAATGCATATATATGTTATATATTTAAAAAATTTTTAATATAATATATTTTAATTCAATATATTATAATATATAATATAATATAATATATATATATAAATATGTTAATTATTACATTTAAAAATATACATTATAATTAAAAAAAAATATATTTTAAAAGTAGTGAAATTTAATGAATATATTGAAAAAAAACTACTATATATATATATATTATATATATATTATATATATATTATAATATATTTAATTATTATATTTATAAATTTATGCAACATAAAATTATTTTATTAAAATAAAGCAGAGTAAAATAAAATTGAAGGAAAAAAAAATCATTCGAAAACATTAAGATAGTATATTTGTCTATAATCTGTTGTAAATTATATTTTTGTAACATCGCTTAATTTGTTATTTGCTCAACAAGAAAGGAATTCGATAATTCCAATCTTTGTAATGCGAAACCGTTAATAATTATTTTACTTGTGTTTAAGGAATCTTTCATTTTATATTTACGATTACTGTACGAAGTAGATATAATACTTAAACATTTAACTAGATTAACAACGCTTTATTCATAGCGCAATTCGATTCGAGATGCGCTTAAAATATCTAAGTACAAGCATTTAGAAGATTGTACATTTCAAATTAACATTCGACGTAAATGTATACGAATCTATAGAACATCTTTCCTAATAATAACATATATTTTCTTATTCGATATAATTTTGAAACAATTTAATTTTCATAAAATTATAAATTTCCAAAATGTGCATGTGCTATACAAATATTTATATAGTGTATTTATATGTTTCCACAGAGTATTTCATAAGATATGATATATTTAGAATATGTAACTTTTACTTTTAATAAATAAATCAATCATTAATATGTTTTCAATAGATTATTGAACTTTTAATTAAAAGCTTAAAAAATAGATATAATTACTGTAATATTAAGCTTTCTTAGTGTTAATGTTTCATCTTATATGTTTATGTTTAATACCATTACAATATAAAAATCAATTGTGCTTTGATTTAAGATGACATTATGTATCTTTGGTATGAAATCACAAGAAAGATTATTAAATATTAATATCAATTTCTGAAAATATATATTTTCTAATATAGATATAGATAAAGATAGATAATTAAAGCAAATTAACAAAAAATATCTTGATTATATTCAGATCAAATTTATAATGAATTAGAAATATTTTTATTTAACAAATAATATGGAAAAGAATGACAATATATATAATTATATAATTTATGAAAATATTAATTAATTTACTATATAAATATATTTTTATTTGCTAATTATTAGAAAATTAATAATCAATAATCGTATGAAAACATGATAAATTTTTAGCTAATTATTAATTCAAATTATATTTATCCGAATGTAATATATCATATGAAATACCCTGTATACCGTATTCCGTAAGCTTTACATCAATTACTAAGAGAAGATTCGGCACTTTCAAACTTGTGCTCTTTAAAAAATAAAATAAAATTTTTATGCACTTTCAAATTCGTGGTTTTTAAGAAAACAAAACAAAAACTTTATGCAATTCACCTTTTTTTGAATACCAACAAAATCATTTTCAAACATAATGCATATTTTAATAAAAATTTCTTAGAATTTTCCATTAACTATTTTGACAACTTACGAAAAACAATTTGCATTATATAATATATTTATATACTATATACAAACGAATTATCCAGTTCGTATAGATATTCTATTGCTGCGATCAACTATTATATATATATATATATATATATATATATTAAATGTATGTATTTTTCATATTCGTAGCCATTATTGAACAGAAAAATCAGACACTTATATTACCGATCGCTTTTTTTTTTTTTTTTTTTTTTTTTTTAATACTAATTACTAATAAAGTGTCCCCCTGTGTCTTTATACACTTCGGGAAAAAATAACGTGTGGTCTCATTTTGTACTTTAATAAGTGGTAGACAGTAGAATCATTGGTGTTTCATTTTAAGAACTCTAGAAATGACCGTTCGGGTGCTCGAGCTTCCCGAGACGAGAGGAAGCTTTAATGCACCGGTCGCATGCTGGTCCAGAGCATCTTTGTATTATCAATCCCTTGCAATTTTTTCTTCGACATCTACAATATATTTTTTTAAATATCTGCATATCTTCAATTAATTTAAGTAAGTAGCATTTCTTTCCTTTTTTATTATATTAATAGGAAACAATTCTCAATTAAAATCCATTATTTAAATTTATTAAACATTAACAATATAAAAATATATGTATGTTTCATTAATAATGATCAAATGCAAGGGATTGCAATTACAATATTCAAGAGGTGAGTTCCTGACCCTCCCGAAATTTTATTCAAACAAACACGATTTTTACGATCGCGATCACGCAAACGTACATATACTACGTACCGTTTTCTCAAACAAAATACAATCACATTCAAAGAATAAATATAAAAAGGAATACAAGTTTTTCATTCATGATATATTGTTTGAAGGATTTTGCATTGAACTAGAATTCTATTCTAGTCTCAAATTGCATTTTCCTTTTACTATCTGATAATATGGAACATTCATGGTTATTTTTATAAATACATTCCTCCCGAAATAATATATCTTTATGCACGTAGAAAAGTTCTGTATTTATTTACACAGGCATTTTGAACATTCATTGCAATTTCAACGGAACTTCTTCATTGAGGATTTAACTTATCAGTGCCCATAATGTATTTTTATTAATCACTGTTATTTTATTAATCATTTTTTTTCCGTTCGATTAATGCTTCTTTTTATCGCATCATAAGATAATATTTTCATTTCATTTCATTCATATTTGTTTTGTTGGCGTAAATAAATTTAAGTGGAACCTAGTATTTGTCGGAAAATACTGTTTCTTCCATTAAATATTAGCAAAAAATAAACTCATTTAATTAGATTTCCCTGATAAACTATTTAATCATTTTATTCTAGTAACATGAGATTATATTAAATTTGTTCAGAAATAGAAACAGATTTTTCTATGATATAAAAATATTTAGTTACAAAGGAATAAAAATATTCATGAATATTCAATTATTGCCATAAAACTATGAATTACAAAAACAGTGTAAAAGTTTAAACAATTCTACTTGCAAAAATCGTTGTTCATATAAAAGTAACTCTGATATATTAAAAGCATCCATTCGTTTTATTATTTTTTTCTATATTATCACAAATTTATAATTAATCGTTGTATTAAACGTAAATAGAACAAAATTACCAAAATACTTTGCTAATAACCAAATATATCTACTAACAGATTGCGCTTATTGATTTTCATTCCAGTGAGTACATTAACGTGAAGTGGACGGCATTGGATTAAACTGATTCGACATGTTGCAGCAATAACACGGAGCCAAAATATTTGTGTTTCTAAATTGAAAACATACAGTTTAAAATTATAAAAATATATGATTTTTTATATAAATATATTCACTATATAAATGCTTTTTTATTCAAAAATATGATCAAAAACTTCTGACATTTATCATATAAGATTCATATCTTGAATGTATTTATAATTACAAGAATTCAAACAATTTTTTTTTAAAATAATTGAATTTAATCAAAAAAATACTGTAAATAAAAACCATATGATATGCTAAATAATAAATATATAATAACAAATAATATACAAGTAATACAAAAGTTAACACAAGAAAAAAAATAAAATAAAATATTATGTTGAACATTATTGATAATTAAGAAAAACAAAAATGTATTATCTATGGGTATCTGATTTAAATAAAAAAAAATATAAAATATATTTTAAATAATTTCATATTATAAATAATTTTTATAAAAATATCAATAAAGAATTGCAATTAATTTAAAATAGCAAAAATTTTATTTAAAAAAAAATTAATATTTTGTTAATAAAAATTATCAATTTAAATTTTAAATTTTAAATGTATATAATATAATTTAATAATAATATTCCATATTGTATTAAATAATACAATAGGAATTTAGCATCAAACAAAATATATTAATATAAATATGATAGAATTCTTTTAAAATAATAATAAATTTATGAAAAAATATTATAAAATTAAAATAAAATTATTCTCTTTTCTATTTTGCAAATTATGTATGCATTATGTAATAATCATGAAATATGCATAAATAAATAATTCTATAAATTTTTAATATTTAGTACAATAATCTATATTATAATTAATTCTTATAATTATAAATAATTTCAAAAATGATAAAATATACATATGATAAATCATAAAATTAATAATTTTAAAATTAAAAAATAATATTTAATTTCTAAAAGTATTTACTATTCACTGCTGAAAAAAAGTCTCGCAGAAGAAATGCAGGTCAGATTAGTTAAATAGTTATGTGGGAGACCTATTTTCATACGCATTTTTATTTCTAGCATATTTGTTACATATACTCCGATTTAAATCATAGTTTTTCTACTACTATAGTAATATGTGGAGTTAGGATTGTCAACAAAGTGTCTAAAATGGATAGACAATTGTAGCAAAAGATTTTTCTTGCCCCTATGTTGTTCTGTGAAACTTCTTTTCAGTAATGAACAGTATATAATTCTATATTATTTTATTAATTATTATTAATTATTAATCTAACTTATTTTACAACTTGGAAATATATAACATACCTTAATTGTCTTTGTAATTTTCGACCTACTTGTCCTTTTCGTCCATGTTTACTGCACTGTTTTTTGGATTCATATATTAATCGCTAAGGTAATGAATTGTTACTATTATTAATAATATTTTCTTCTTGGTTTGAATCCAATGAAACATTTCTGCTTTCTATACTGCGACTAAAATTATTTTTTTTTATTAAATTTATATTAATTTATTAATATATTATTAATATATATTATTTATAATTAATATATCAATAATAATATATATTAATAAAATTATATTGTATTATTTCATATTTTTAATATTTAAAATATATTTCAATTAACTATCAGTTACTTACTCTCTGTGAACGAAAGAAGCATTATGAGAAGCTTCGTCCATTCTGTCCGAAAAAATGCGGGCACTTGATCGATCAATTCCATGAGTTGAAGATTTGCCTCTTTGTGCAATATCTGAATAATGACCATCGGATCGTTTAAATTTTTCACTTGGGATTTCAGTGCTTAAAATTTCAGGTTCATCTACTGGTAAACACGTTTCCACCATAGCTTCCAGGCAATTAACAAATAATTGAGCACTTTCGGCTGTGCAATTAGACTGCAACATATACGTATGTACAAATATAAATTTTCAAATCAAAAAAAATTTTGAAAAAAATTTAAATAAATTATTTTTTTTAAATAAAAATTTTAAAAACCATAAAAATTATAGAATAATAATATTATCAAAATAAATACAAAAATATAAAAATTCAAGTTTATTTATTTAGTTATAAGTATTATTTATTTAGTTATAAGTAATATATAAGTATATAAGTATATTAAGTATATAAGTATATAGTATATTTTTTTTAAGTTTGCGTAAGATGAAATGAGATAAAGAAAAAGCGAGATGATGATATGTTGAAGATAAATAAGACTATCTAAATCTAATTCATATACATATATCTAATACATATAATAATACATATATTTAATGCAAACTTCAATTGTTTATAATTTAATAAATAAATTTTAATCAATATTACTTCGTTTTTTGTTTGATTTGACTTCTAGAATCGATGTTCTAAAGATGTATATTTATTTCTATATATATTTATTAATTTATATATTTTATTGTTATTAATATATATATATATTATATATAAATTGAAAATAACTATGTATTAAATAATTATAAATGTATTCTTACATTTGTGTATGGACCTGCGAATCTCCATAATCCACCAAATCCACAACTTTGCAAATAATGTAATTGCTGTTGACTTGTATCCTCACATGCGATCATATTCTGTATAATTGCTTGTACAGAATTCAATATACATTGATCATGACAGAAAGATAATACATTATTGATTTTTGCATCAAGTAAATTATGACTGTAAAAGAATTGAAATAATATCAAAATAACCTACAATTTCACAAAATTAAATTTTCTAAATATGTGTATAAGTGATATACGTGATTATATATGTGATTTATTTATAAATTATTTTAAGTAAATAAATCATTTTAATAATTTCTGCAAAATAGCAATTTCTAATATTTGAAATCTTTTTTATATATTTATTTTATATACTAGATAGGATATAATTCATAAATGATAAGAATTAAAATATAAATTAAAAAATTAATATAATCAGATTTAAAATAAATATAAAATTTCATTTATAAGAATATGAATTTTGTAAAATATATATATTATTAATATAAATAGACGCATATTAAAAAAAAATTAATACAATATAGCATGATATTATTTATAGTATGGATTTATTGCAAAATAAAGCAAGATTATAAAATGTTATTTATCCAAATTCTTAGAATGACATCATTCTAAATATAATTATCAATTGCAAATAATAAAAAAATGTTAGGAGAAAAAAATGAATATGAATATTCAAAAAGCTATATTTGTGAGATTGTTTTTTTTTTAAATGATATATTCAATAATTCTATTATATCATTATATAAAAATATATATAGAGGTAAAGACATGAATAATTTATGAAATATTTTAATAAATATTTTAATAATATTTTAATAAATTCCATTGATAAAGAGTAACATTGTTATCAAACAAATATGTATATTAGATACATGAAAAAAGATTAAAGATTATGCTATTTTGAACTATTCTAACTTCATGATTATATTGTTATCTTGTGTTTAATATTTTAATGTATTATAGTTATATATTATGTCACACGCATATATACATATATCATCCATTAGTTCATTTATCAATATATTTTGTATTTTGTCTAAATTTTAATATTTTAATATTTTGTATGAATCATGATTAGGTTTATACATACAAAAGATATGATTTAACTTTCATTATCGTTTGAAAAAGTATAATTTATAAAAAAATTAAATTTATTATATTAATTTTTTTAATTTTAATAGTCTTATTTTAAAATATTATATTATTATTTGTGGTTGTTTAATAATTCCTTTCTGTTCTATTTCAACAATCTCATTTTGTTTTAAAAATTGAGAAAATTTTAAAACAAGTAATTGATTAAATTGATGATAAATGAATACACTCTCATTGATAAAGAAATTATGTTACTAAAAATGTTAATAACAATATTAATAATATTAATTCCCTCAATATATGATATATTAAAAAATATAAAAAACGAAAACTTACATTACAGGAAAAACTTTTGGAAAGACCACCGAAGCTTCTGCAAGATATTCATAAAGAATCCGTTGTTCATTTTCGTCGGTTGAATTTTTAACTAAAGTCACCAAAACAGTTAAAACCAAAGTTTGAATAGAAAAATCTGTCAATACTTCTGGGTCCAATAATATATTGTTTTCATTGCTCACGCTTACTCTAGCACTTCGATTCTGTATAAATCATTATATAATAATTATTAAATAAGTATATTAATATATATTATTTTTATTTCAATTTAATTTTATTTTATTTTGTATATATAGGCTGTTGAAATATTGATAGATTACATTTAAATTACATTAATTCTAGAGATCAAAACAATTATTAAAAATTGGTAAAATGTCGATTGCAAAAATGTCGATTCAAATTTATTTATTAAGTTATAAGTAATTGAAGTTTACATTAAAATAAAGACACAAGTAAAAAAATAATTCTACTTTTAATTGAAATCATTTTCTTTTCATTTTGCTTTATTTAATATAAAATTAAATTGCTTATAATTAAAAAAAATAAATTTTAATCAACATTTCTATATATCAATTTTGTATCTGTTTTAAATCTCTAAAAATATATTCTAAAAATATTCCACAAATATATTAATATCCTGTATATTATTTTTAGTGCTAAGAATAATATCATCGCAGCAAAATGGATTCTTAAAATAGTTGAACTTTCATTTATATACTTTTATTATTTTATTTTTATATTGATATAAAAATTAAATTTCTTTTAAAATAGAGAATTATTTTTAATAATATAATATAAATTATTTAATTTTATTATTTTAAATTATTTCATGGTATAATTCATTATTCGAAAATTTATTTCAATCAAAAGTTGCATAATATCAGACGTACAATATACTTTTACTATAATTTTAAATTATATAGTTTTATTAAGATATAAAAGTCATCTTTTATAAATTATATAATTAGTTTTATAATTTATAATATTAACAACATTACATTACAAAAATCTTACGTTATCTTATCATCATTTTTAATAAAATTTAATTAATATTCTATATTATATATAGAATATTATATATAGAATTATATAACTAATAGATCTATCTAATATTTATATTAATAAAAAATTGAATTAATTATGTTATAATGTTTTTAGTATTGAAAATTTTTTATTAATATTTCAAAATTTTAGAAACTAAAATTTTAGATTTAGATCAATTATTCTTTTTCTTTTTTAAAACTACTAATATTTTTATAACATGAGAAAGCATATTTAATTTATTATTTAAAAATTTATAAATGTTAACTAAAATGTTAAGTAAAATATATGCTTTTATATTTGTTCCAATATTAAAAATATTAACAAATTTTGAAAAATCAATTTAATTAATTTATTATTATAAAAAAAAAATATATACTATATGTGTAATATCTATTGTAGATTTAGATATGTGTAGAATCATTGTAAGGATTTAGATATTATCATTCTTTAGACTATGGTTATAGTCGATGCAGTTTTCATTCGAATTGCGTTCTAACATTCTACTAATTGTAGAACGAATGCGACAAATAGTTTAATTATTGTGAATGCGTATTCTAATTAGAGAAGATAGAAATTGTTAAAATTATATTGTTATAATTGTATAATTATAAATATTATTAGTTATTAATATTATAAAATTATATTACATAGCATACTTCAACACATGATGTTTGAACTTGTTTGTTTAAAACTCGTTAACAAAATCAAAACGAAAAGTTTTGAAAAGGAAAAAGTTGTTTGAAATTACTTCTTAAATTATGCTTCCTCATTTTTGAAATATCATGAATATCTCTATGATAATAAAATCAAATAATTATAAAAAAAATCGCTTCTTAATTACATTTCAAAAAGATTCATTTTATGATGCGATTATTAAATGTAAATAAAATAAAATTGTAAAACATATACATATAAAATCTCAAAATTAATTTTCAAATTAAATAATTATTTAATTTGTAATTAAAGTAAATAAAGTAAATAATTATAATATAAATATCATATAGTATGATTGTAAAAAAATAATATATTTTTCTAATGTTGAATATTGAATTTTAAATATAAATCTTAATAATTAAATATAATCTATTTTATATTTAATAATTTTTTATTATTTCATATTATTACTATGTATCCATATATAAATTTAGACCAAATTTCAATTTAGATCAAATTTTTAAAAAAAGTTCTGAAGCGTCCATAAGAATTTCAAAGTATTTATAATAATAATGTTCATGATCATATATATTACATATTTTTTTATGTTTATATTAATCATGTGTTACATTTTTTAAGTTGATATGTTTAAAAGTTGAAATAAATTTCTGACGAATTAATGCAAATGTATTTCTATTTTCACAAAAATTATAAAGAAACCAAATGGCAAGAATTAAACTTCTGCAAGTTTGTGTTTTGAAAAAGGGAATGCATATAACATAATCATATAAAATAATTCATATAAAAATCCACAGAATTGATTGTTCATCAGAATGCAATTTGAAGAAAAATATATTTATTGTAATTTTATTTTCCAATTTTTTCTTTGTTACCATCAAAGAATATATTTTTTCATTTTTATGAAAAATTTCAATATCTTTTCAATATTTCAGCAGTAATTAAAAGAAATTTAAAAAATAAAGAAAAAAAAAAAGGAAAGAAAATAAAATTTTTTTTAAAAATTTGAATGTAATTTTTATCGGATTTTTCAAAATTATCGAAATCAAATAAATATAAACATAATATGCAACTCTTGATATATTATAATTTTCGTCTGAATCATTCTCTATTTTTTATATAAATATTTAATTGCTTTCTCTTAAATCGAATATCCATGTAATTATTCTAATAAAAAAATTTAGGTTTAAAAAAATTAAAAAAATATTATTTAAGTTTTATAATTTAAAATATAAAAGTTTTATAATAAGTTTTATAATAAATAAAAGAATACCTTCGATTCAGGTTCTTCACTTGATTTTGTTTCCTTTGCAGTTGGTACGGAAAAGGATCGCTGCGTTTTAAATAAAATCCGTCCAGTCTTGTTAATGACGTATATCGTCATTTTTGGATAAATTGATGGAATATGATATTTATAAGTGACAAGTTGTATTGCATTTTATACAATCCAGGCAGAGATAAGGTAGACATAGGCAGATGCGAGTATAGACATCGAGAGAGTGAACAGAGGTTCATACAAGAATACAAAAAAATATAGAATATTACTTAATGTAAAAGTTGCATTTAGCTCTTTCAAAATTTGCTACAAAAATATTTAAAATAATAGCTTGAATTTAAATTATGAATTTTTTTTTATTAACTAAATAAATAATCTTATTGTTTGGAATTATTTGCAAAATAATTTAAGATTTTTCAAAATATCATCTTAATATATTTTTAATATTAAATAATATAATCATTAAATTGCGGATTTTTATACAATTAAAATTTGTTCAAATTTTCAATTAATAATATGTGAAATATTGATAATTTTATTACATATTTATTATAATTTGTATTATAATATGTAAAAATAATTTTTTTAATCATGAATAAATTTTCTGAAAAAAATCTGTATATTAATTAAAAAATTAATTGTTAAAAAATTAATTTGAAGATTATTCTATATTACAAAATGCATTTGAAATATATAAATATATATATTTAAATTTATTAGTATTATATTATATTATATATTATATATTATATTATATAGTATTATATATTATAATATATATGAATCAATATCATATTTTAATATTGAATTAGTTATAACTTGTATTATAAAAAAGCTTATTTATTACACATTTGATTAACAATTCATTAACGTAATCATCATTAATTCATCACAATAGTTTATATAATAAATAACAATATAGGATATTCCAGATATTCTTTCATACAAGTATCGCCAATATATTTTATAGATAAAAATAAGACTAAAATATGTAATAAAAAAATTCATAAATGCTTTATTAAAAATTTACATAATAGAAATATGAAACATAATGTAAATTTTATAAATAGATCTTTTTTTCAATACATTTTATTTATTTTTATATGCTTTTCAAAATATATTTTATTTACTTTAATATGCAATGAAAACGTACATTAATTAATTAGCAATTAAACATAATAACTAAACATATACAAAAAAGAAAATCATATATAAAATCACATATAAAGTGTATAAAAAAATAAAAGTAAAATTAAATAAAAGTGTATATTCTATACAATTATTTCAAATCTATGTTATATCATCTTTTTATGAATATTTTTTCTTATATGTATAAAAAAAGATACCTATATGTATCTATATTTTCATTTTATTTATTGATATAAAATTAATATCGAATATTTATGAATAGATTTAATTAATTTTTTATATAATTTTTAATATATAATATTTTCATTTTAATTTTTAACATATAATTGATTCGCGTAATAAAAAAATTCAAACAGTTAACAAGAAAGTTTGTATACATATATATGTATATATATTTTTTTACTGTCTTCTGATATTATAAAATTATATGTAACATGTAATATACATTTATCAATCTAGTTAGAATAAATAGCTATAAATTAGATGAATATTCAACAAATTATATTGCTAATTTAATTTAATAGATATTATTTCGAACAATAAGTCGGTCAAAAAAGATTAGTTTTTTTCACTAGTTTATCTTATATCTTTAGATTTTTATTCAGATATTCTAAAAAAGAAAATTTAGAATACAAAAATACAATTCTATTTATAAATTACTAGATACTTAACAATATATTTTAAAATACGGACAAATGAATATTATGATTTATCATTTATAGTAAAAAAAATATTAATTTTAATATAAATTTATTTTTAAATCGTTGAACATCAAGCAATAATAATAACGTGTATCATTGAAAAAAATAAATAGAATAATTTACACTGTATTATACCGTAAATATATCAAATATATCAAATAATAAATAATCCATTATATAAATTTTAAGATTTCATTATATAATAAAATATATACTATATTATGATATATCATAATATCATAAGTATTTTCAAATTTTATAAGATTGTGATTTACAATTAAATGGAAGAAAAAATCGTTATGAAAAATACATGAAAAAAAAATATTTAGATAATGATAAAAAAAAAAACAAATTCACAAATCAGTGTTAATAATTAAATGATTAATAATATATTTAAAATTAGCAAATATCCAGGAATTACTTATTATTTATGAACGGGAATATATATATATATGTATATGTAAATAAAATAATTAATTATAAAGATTCAATATTGCATATAAATAAATTAGACAAAATGCAAAAAAATTAAATTTATAATAAATATATATACATATATATATTATATATATATATATTTATATAATACATCAGCTTTATCAATAAACAGATCTAAATGAAAACATCCATTGTTTATATGTTTATTTTATATTATATTACATTGTTTATATATGTTTCATATTTTTATGTTTTTTTTTTCTTCTATAAAATATGTTGTTGAAGTTTGTTGAAAAAAAAAATCTGGGAAATATCCTGTATATTTATTTCATTTATGTAAAATATGAAAAATATAAATTTGCATAAAAATTCGCAATCTAGTAATTTTATTTTATTTTTATATATAATTTTAATTTTCAAATATTTTAGAATTAAATAATTTTTTAATAAAAATAAAAATGTAAGATAAAAAGTTATTTCATAATGCATAAATAATATTAGCAAGTGAATATAAAAAAAAAGTAAACAAAAATACATTCCATACAAAAATCTAATAAAAAAATTAATTAAAAATATATCAAAAACTACACACATATTTACACATTTATAAAAAATATAATTAAAAACTTTTAATTATTTTTTGTTTTAAGATATATATATATATGATAAATAATAATTTTTTCAATAAAAAGCAATTTGTTTGCATTCTAATATTTAGAATAAAAACAACAAACAAAGATATTATATTGTAAATTTAATTTTCTCAAATGTTATTTTTATAATCAAGAAAATTTTAAATAAAATATGAATTTTGTAATACATACTATTTTATGAAATAAATGATATTTTTATAAATTAATTTTATTTATTTTTAATTACATAAATAAAACGTACCTGATGTGTTGAATGTTGTTTTTGTTGTCTAGCTTGAGTAAGTGCAGATTGATCAAGAAGATCCCATGATTTTTGTCGACGATTAGTAGGATTATTAGATGTTGCACTGGATGTATCCTGCATTATAATATTTTCTATGTTATATTTATTTTTTTTATTAATTTATTAAAGTCATTTGTTTTCAAATATCATTTTCAAATTTTCTAATATTCTTTTCAATTAATAAAATAAATTTTATTTTATAATGAATAAAAATAATAAACAAGAAAGTCATTCTTTAAATATAAATTATCATACAAATTAATTATAAAAATTTTTCTGATATATGAATTTTTATATCTTCAAGTTAATTTTTAAAGTTACTTTATTTAAAAAAATTTTCAAGAATTTATGTATAATAAAGACAAATATTTTTGAAAAATTTTTTTTAAATTATTAATGTTCTTTTAAATGACATTAAATATTTATATTATAGAAGACAAAAATTAAAAATAAAATAAATATATTACAATTACAATAAAATGTTGAATGATAAAAAAATTTTATTATAAAAATGTATTATAAAAATTTATAATATATATTTTATTGATTAATAATAGTCCTGTTATTTAAATTATCTCTGTTATCTTTTTCAATTTTCGGCTATAGTCAAAATGAGAGATTATTATTTCTATAACAAAATCAGTGAAAGAAGAAAAAAATAAAAAAAAAAATAATAATATATAAATAATAATATAATATATAAAATATATAAAATAATAATTAAAATATATTATAATATGATATAATAGTATGTATTATATAATTAAATATTAATTTTTTATATATTCTATAATGTAATATATTTATATTATATAATTAATATAATTAATATATAATATAATATATATATATATTATATTATAATTTTATAATATATATATATATTATAATATATTAATTCAAATATTAAAAAAAAAAAAATATTTTTAAAAATAACTTACTGGATTATGTGGAAGTAAAATATCAAGGCAATCTATACTACCAGCTTCTGAATTTTTAGTAGAATGTCTAATATGGCATCGACTTCGTACTTCCTCGGATACAGATACTAATGCTGATTAAATACAAATATAATTATTAATTTAAATTCATAAATAAATTTAAATATTAATGTAAACTTACCAGACAAATATGCCACACTATCTGGCGTAACTTCAAATTTATCTCTTCTAAATGGTTTAGCAACAATACCTAACAGCATAGTTAGTACTCTAGCCGTTCGTGTAACAGTAGTAGGTGTAGGATGTCTATATCCTTTTAGAAGATGACCAACCAAAGCAAAATGAAAATTAGATTTAAAAGAAAGTCCTACTGCATTATCCAATTGTTTAAAATGCCACTCTAGAGGTTCACGTGTTAACATCATAACACATTCCAATGTCTAAAAAATTAACTTGTTTATAGTAAAAATTCACGAAAATTTGACAAAATTCATAAATTTTTACCTTATCATCAAAAGTTCCTTGAGAATCTAAAGTATGCAAATTTTGCTCAAGAAGTGCTAAACCACATGCATATAAAGATGCCTCATCTAACTGAAGAATTGATGTTGCAACCCAAAATAAATATCGATGTATAGGAGATTCCTTAAAAACATTGAAATTATTAATAATTAAATTAAAATTTATTTTATAATAATAATAATTAATAATTAATAATAATTAATTTATAGTAATATAAATTTCAATAAATAACATATAATTATTTAATACATAATAAACTTTCACGTTAATAAAATTTATATATTTAGTAATTATTGTTATTAAATATTTAATCGCTCAAATAAATTAATTAGATAACAAATAAAAAAGATTTAACTTTTACTAAAAATGCACATTGTTAATGTAGATTAATGTAGAATTATAATATTAAATTTTTATAATGTATTAATAAATGAGATATAACTTACAGGTCTAAGCAATGGTTGTAATCGAGTGAGACACATAATGATTGCTTCCAGTAAAGTAATATCATTAAAACTTTCAAGAGCTTTTACTAATATCCTTAATAATTGTTTCATATCTTGATCAGTTATGCTTTTACTAATACATCCAAAAACAATTAAAGCTCTAGGTTGAAGAGCGGGATTAAAACAAAAAGCAAAATTTCTTGCTAAAGAAGTCCAGGTTTTTAACCAATCACATTGTGGAATATCCCGCATACAAGCTTCCATGATTTCAAGAAGAGCATCAGTAATAATTTCTAAACTAGTTAACGAAAGTCTTTCTTTATCATGTGTTCCTGTAACGCTGCGCTCATTGCTGAACCATTTTTCATTTGTATGTCTATAACTAGATTTAAATGCTGTACCCGCAGCAGATTTTACTTTACTAATTCCAAAAAGTAAATAAAATTTAGGAAGAGAAAATTCATCCAAACTCATTCGTAATATTCGATGAGTGTCTTCTGAGAAGGAAGGGGAACTACAAGTGCATAGCGAATGAATACTGTTGATTACCAAACCATGAGTAGAAGCGCGCATACTTAGACTTCCGGAAAAAACTAAAAATGTTACTGTATGAAATAAATATGGTAGATGTTTTCCCACATCCAAACAATTATTAAAAGATAACATTAATAAATATCTTGCTAAAATAGCAATATCATCCCATCTTGTATGTTGTTCTAATAATGGCGTCGGAGAAGTGCAAGTTTTATCTACAACTCGACAAAGTCTTCCTATTACTTTTTTCGCCACTAATTGAACATTTCCAGAAGCCAACGCTACAGCAGTATCAGCCATTATTTCAACAGTAGGAGAGCCGAGTCCAAAAGTAACACTACGTTGAATAAAATTATCTAAAACTGTATCTATTAAATCAGGTAATCTTCCAATTGTACTCCATATTTTAGCTTGTATACTTGGATACATTTCCACCTCTTCAATAGTTAATGTTATTAATTTTTCTAAAATTTTTGTAACTTGTTTTTGACGTTTTCCTCCTTCATCATTTGGTTTATAAAATCGCACAAGATTATTTAACCATGGAGTCATATATTCTAAGCAAAGATGTTTTAATTCGATACTTGACAATCTAAAACCTTGTATACATTCCTCTAAAAATTCTAATGTAAGATGTGGATCATTCGCAGCCAAAGTTTCACTTAAATGTTTAATAAATATAGTATTATTTGATGGTATACAAAGTCCAGATGTTTCTAAAAGTTGTCCTTCAATTTTTAAATCGAAAGTTGCAGTTAAAGCACATAATTGATTGTATGCTGCTGTTCGTAAATTTGGATCTGAACTACCAAGATTTAATAACGCCATATTTAATAATGTTCCAGGTACATCTTTAGGTCTTATTTTTGGATGAATAGATACAGATTCCGGCTGAGATAATTCCCATCGATTTCTTATATGAATTATAGCCTGTACAATACTATCACAGTCTTGATGAATAAAAGATAATGGGCCAGTTTCATTTGAAATAGTCAATGTAAATTGATTGTCATCTACTAAACAAACTTCTTCTATTTCAGATGCATAATAAACATCATTTAAAAGAACGGAATGCGATAATACTTTGCATTTCTCCGCCGAGGTAATTTGTATCGCAGTTGGTCCAACTTTTACGGATACTTTAGTGTCTTTATGAGAAAGTTTCAAAACGCTGTTAAAAACTTTTAAATCTTCATCAAGAGATAATGTAGCTCCAGGCAATTTTTGTTGATCAATATCAATTACATCATTTAAACGACTCGGTCCATCGACGAAAACTACTTTTCTATTACCTTTTAATGGTGCCAAGATTCTATCATGAAATTTTGTATATTCTCTCACCCAACCATTACAATTATAAATATATGCAGCATGAATATTTTCATATGCAACTTTAGGCAATACGTAAAACCATTTCTGTAAAAATTCAGTTCTAAATCGATTGTCTGAACATGTATGAGTAAAATCAATAACCAATTCAAACGGAGAATGACAAAATGGTTTTAGAGTAAGAAGAACATGGTATATTAACAAATCACCATTCGTATCGCCAATTCTATAAAAAAGACATAAACAAAATTATATTACTAAAATAAATCTAATTGTGAATAATAAATTATTTTTGTTACTTTTTTGTTGTAATAAAATTTTTTATATAAAAATATATGTAAAAAAATTATTTATTTAAATGATTATTTTGAATGTCTCTAATAAGAATTAATTATTATTTAAATGCTTTATTTTTAAGTCAATGCTAATGCTAATATTATATTTTAAATTTTATAATAATATTGTATATTAAATATGTAATATAAAAAAAGAAAAAATTTTAAATTTATAATAAATTAATAAAATACATACTTGTAACGTCTAGCAATATAATAAAACACTGGATATCCTTGTTTACTAGTTCCTGCTTGATAAAAAATATTTAAATTCTTGATACTTTTAAATTCTTCGTTTTCATGCATATTATGTTTCACCATAATTTCTTCAAAATTAGTTGAAGACATGTCAATATTTGACCATCGAGCGTAAGATGAAGAAAACATTAAGCTATCAAAATAAATATATTTATATATAAAAATTATATAATAAATAGTACATATAATAATATAATATATATATATATATATATATATATATATATAAAATAATAAATAATGATTTGTGTAATAAAGAAAATATTAATACTAACTGTGAATCAATTGGTTTATGTTCTGGAGGACCAAGATAAGCCAATAATGTAGCCATTTTATCAAAAGGTCTTCTACCTACTGCTTTATGGTCCCGACTGCTACTAAGATAATCGCCAATTCGTTCTTGATGATTCCAAAGTAATCTATGTAATGCTAAAACATTGGCATCCGATACAAACGACATTGGATGACTAGTTTGATCGACCGTTTCGCAATCTGATGCTATTTGTATGAAAAATCTTCTTCCAATCTCAAAATGTGCACGTAAAAAGTCATTAAATGGTAACATATGTTGTTCTTTACTAAATTCTACGTGATTGGCAATATTTTGCAAGATTTTAGACATTAACATAAGACCCCTTTTAATATGCGGAGATACAAGTTTATTTACAATGCCCATTTCTTGAGGAGATACAATAGCTGGATTAATAAATCGCAAAAATATTACAGTTCCAACAGCTCCAATATTATTTTGTGGACATTGTGGAAATCTTTTACTGAGTACTTGATATAAACAATGACACATAGACCGTAATTGTGGTGGAAATCTGGAAAAATATAATTAAATTTCGAAAAATTGACAAAAGCATTATTATTATATTAAAACTTTATTTTAATATATAATTATAATATATATTATTTAATATAGTAATAATAATAATTATTATATCTATATATCTATAACAGTTAAATTTAATTTAAACAAATATTGATATTAATTTATTAAATTATTTTTCATAACTTACCGGTCAGCTGAGGATACTATAGCATTAAACACTTTTTCAGTTAATGCGATCAAATTACGACCATTTTGTTCTATATTTTCATGAATATCTATCCTAGCACTATCAACTTCAAAACCAGTAGTAGGGTCATCTAATAGTGGCATAATTAAAGGTTCTAATAAATTTTGTAAATAACTAGCACCATAAATTTTAAAACAAAATGCCATAATTTTGCTTCCAAGACTATTTCCTCGAAATAATGTTTGCATACAATCAGAAACTTCAACTTCACGATAAAACATATTCCACAAAAGAGAAGATAATAAGTGCTTAGCATCAAATAATGTTACAAAAACTCGTGCTAATTCATCCATTTGATTTGTTGTCACTACATTAGCTAAAGCCATTGCAATAGGTAATTCTCCTTTATCACTAATCATTGTAACAAGTTGAACTAATTGCTCAAATCTATCGGCCAATACTGTTTCTGCTAATGTATCGAATTCTGTTCCTTGTTGAAGAATTTTAGTAAGAACTTCCATAAATGCTGCTCGTGTTTGTAAATCTGGATTATAACCCAAACCTATAAATATACAAATTACATAAAATATTGAAAAACTAACAAATTTCATATTATGATATTTATAATATTTAATTTATATATAATATTAAAGTATTATAAATTTTACTTACTTAATGAATGCATTAAACCACTATCAATATTTGCACTGAGAAGATTGCTCATTGCTTGTATAGTAGCATTGCGTAAAGTAGATAATTTGCCACTGGTTAAACGTGGTTGTTGAGACACAATTTCTTTTTCTTCGCCAGTTGCTTCATTGCAATCATTTAATAAATTCATGAAAAGAGTAAAATATTTTAGAAACAATTGAGATTTTGCTTCCATTAAATCACCACGATCAGATTCTTCAGGTTGAAGAGGCAAACCACGTAATAATGCTCCAACTGCTTCCATACATGCTTGATCTAAATCTCTAAAAAATCAAATCAAATTTAATATATATATGACAAAAATATGATTATATGATAAATGAAAATATGATATTATATTATAATATACTAAATAATTAGTATATAAACTAACCAATAATATAAGATAAATTATTATAAATATTTTTTATTATTATTTTTTTAACATTTGTATATCTAATAAATCAAATACAATATCTATATTTTAAGAAATCAAATTAACCAATGCAATATATTTATTATTTAATATGTTTAATATTAATTAATTTAAAATTTTAATATACTACAATTTTTTTTAAATAAATACGAATCAATAAGCATTTTAAAAATTTTAAAAATTCACTATATATTGTGCATTTTCATTACATATAATATAATAATGCATGTTTTAATAATTATTATTATTATATATTATTAATGAAAAAAAATTATTTCATGTAAATATACCTTATAAAAAATTAGTTACCGTGTATAAACAGTTAAATCTCCACTAGTAGATGGAGTAATTTGATGAGTAGCACCCATTACCCAATCAGTTAAATATTCAACAAGTTTATTTCTAAATTTCATTTCCTGTCTAAATGCTAAATCATCTCGTCTTTTCATCATTGCTTCAACGAGTTGACATAATTCTGTTTTAATATGAATAGAATGTACAGTCATATCCAAATGTCTAACATATCTGACAATTGCTAACATCATTCCTTCTATACTAGTCATTCCAAGATATTCAGATGGTTGATCTGTTTTAGAATCTAAAATATTTTTCATTATGAATATTATATGTTCAATAAATTGAGTATTAATATCCAACACTATCACTTGTCCTTGTTGGTTAAAAAATTTTTCGACTATGCTTTTAATTTGATCAAATAGTATTGGATACAATGCAGGACTCATTTCATGGCCAACCAATTCTTTAACATGTTTCTGAATCTGATTTCCAAATTTTTCATTATTACAAATCAATAGACGTAATAAATTATAAATAAATTGAGTACAATATTGTGCTTCTTGGCTTGGATTTGATAAACAAGATGTAGGTTCTTGTTTTGAACTTCTTTTTAGTTCTGGATTTGGAGCTATTCCTGATAATGGTCTATTTGGAGATCGTTTCTGTAAACATACTCCACCTAAAGCACAAAGAAACCCTGTCATATTAGCCCATTCATTAATTTGTTCTTCTAATTCATGTTCAGAATTTTGATGTGATGCTCTTCGCTTTCCTGTACTTCGATGAAATTCTATTTGACTATCTTCTGTTTTGGATTTAGGATAATTTACTAATTGCCGTGAAGTTACTTCCCAATTTCTAAACGTTTCTTCCCAAGCCTAAAAAAAGAAAAAAGAATCACATATTATTTTATCTTATTAAATGAACATTAAAAAGTTTAAATAAGTTTAAGTAAAATATACTAATATTTCTAAATATAAAGTTTATTTATATTATTTATATTATATTATATATTATTTATATTATTTTTAATATCTATTATATTTTAAAAATATTATTTATTTAAATATTATTTAAAAATGAAATTTAAATTACATATATACATACAGGCTGTACACCATTTACACAGTGTTCTATCTTCCTCAATAAGGCCATAATTCTGTTTTGTAAAGCAGCACGTCCTAAAAAAATAGAATAATCATGAAATATATTACTATTAAATTGTTATCATAAAATGTATTATTAATCATAAAATAATTATATAGTGTATATTACAATTAAAATAAAAATAATAATAAAACAAAAAATTTAATTGAATTAAGTTAAATTATACACAAAAATTTAAATAACACTTACCATAATTATGATCGTGATAGCATAGCTTACTTTCCCCGCTGGCTGTTATGGTAACAAGGTCTTTAATACTCTACTGCAGCCATATAAGGGTTATACTAATCAAAATACAAAGTGAATTCAAAAATTCATGAATGAATGTTTGAATTCAAGTAAAATCATTGTTAGTAGATATCCGACTCGAAATTAATGTAAAAAAATAATGTTACTTTATATTAATTCTTCCTACTTAAAAACTTTTAATATAATAAATTAAATAATCTCCTTTTTCCCCTTTTTTATTAATAGTTAATATTATATTATTTATAATATTATGTAAAATATATTTAATTATAAATAATTAAAAAATAAATATATAATAATTAATTATAAATAAATAAAAAAAACATAAAACAGAATTAAAAGAAAAAATATTATACATAATTTATATAATATTATAACATATAGCAATATAATATATGATATATTACATATTATATTATGAAAACTATGACTCATAAGTCTCATATGATTTTTTTACTATTGCAGCTTATATTTTTTTTTTTAATAAAATTTAATTTTAAGAGCACACAAATAAATAAATAAAATTTTTTTTAATTACAGACATATGTATTTATATGATGGCTTTTATCATGATCAAATTTGACCATCATTATATAAAATATTCATTCATATAAAATATTCATTCATATAATCATTCTGTATAATATGCAGAATATTCTAGATTTTTTCACAAAACTTTCGTATTTTTTATAAGTAAAAATGAAAAAAATATATACTACATAAAAATATATCATATAAAAATATGTTATGTATTATATAAATGTTTTATTAAAAAATTAATATACGATAAAATACGAAATGATACGAATAGTGTGGTTTCTTGTTTGAAGAATATACAAAAATTAGATTGTTAGTTTAGAATTTCAATATAAATCGTATTAGTTCTCTGTAACAATCAACAAAGAAATACGTTTATATAAACACATCAAATAAATATCGGTAATATATTCCAATTTTGAATTAGATAAATTCGTTATCATTACGTAGATTTAATATAATTTTTATTAAAACATTCATAAAATCTATGTTTATATTTAATATTTCTTTTTATTTTTATTGATAAAATATGTCAATAAAATTTTGCGAAAAAAAACTAAAACATGCTCTAGTATATTAAAATAAAATAAAATTTAAGTTTAACCATTTTTCGATTCGAATTTCTACTTTTATTTCTATTCTGGAAATTACAATATTTTATATGCAGAATAAATTGGAATAACACCTGGAACATTTACACTTACCAGTGATTAACACAGTAGAAGCTTGTGCCAATTCAAGATATAAATGATAGTTTGGAAGTAAACAAGTTACTGCTACTTCATCACTACCACAACGAATTTCTGCTTCTTCACAAAGTAATGCAAAACAAGACATTGAGACTAAAACTGCTTCCATATTAATACTCCATAAATACATGAAAAATACAACCTAAAAAATAAATATAATAAGCTTATATTTAATGAATTAAATGAATTAATTTAACTTTATTAATCTTTTTGTAAACAGATATAAAACAGATTAAATATATTTTTAGACATACAGATTAAATAATATTTTTAGAGTTTCATAAAATATTATATATCTAAACACACCTCAAGTTTAATATGTGCTTGTTTACAAACAGCAATTTGACTACCCACATTAGCATAATCCTTATTTTGTGCAAGAAAAGCATTTCTACAAATCAATATTTCTCTAAGCCATTTTAATATACAAGTATAATTAACAATTTGATGTTGAATCAATTTTTGGGAAATTGAGAACAGAACTTGTGAACTAACATCCCAAAAAGTATTAATTGGTGCTTCTGGATTCCATGCTTTTATTTTATCTGGATGATGTAACACTAATAATGCTTCCATTGCTTCATGAGCAATGTCCGACATTGTTGGTTGATGAACTAAAGAAACTAAACCATTAATTAGTTCTAAAGTCGAGCTTTGAATTTCATGACCAGCTTTTCCTTGATTCTGTAAAATAAGTTATTTATGAAAGTTAATTATTTATAAAATAAATATATTAATATAAATATAGTAATCACTTCGCAAATTAGAATTAAGATAATTTATACTTACACTCAATAACAACATAGGATCAGCATGAATAAGTTTTACCATCCATAAAAGTAAATTTCTATAACTTGATACTTCTTCTCCACGATCTCTGTACTTATTTTGTTCTTTACCTTTAAGTGTTAAGCTTTGAATCATTCGCAATGGTGTATGTGATATGCAACTCTGAGTGACTTTATTTAAAATATCAGTAAACATATTTCTAAGTTCTGCACTACGAGAATACAGAAGATCTATTCGAGGCCACCATGGCAGTCTTGGTTGTGTTACAATTCTAAAATAAAAAATTTATTCAAATTATATATTTCATTTAATATTATAAAAAAATTAACACTTTTTTAAAATAATATATCTTAGAATATAAACATTTACTATCATACAATATTTGTTAAATTTATGCTATATTTAAATTTCTTAATACAAATAAATTATAATTTATTCTTTTAATTATTCTTTATGAAATATATTTTCAAATTTTAAAAAAATAATATATAATATTATAATATTATATTTTAAAAAAATATAATTATAAATATATTTAATTATAATGTAATTATATAAAGTCAATTTTTTTCTTACTTGTATAATGAGCTAACCAAGACAAACTGGTATGTCGATGGATAATTCAGATTCAAGCAGACTTTAAGTACTTCGTTGTTATGAGGCTTAATGCGAAAGAAACTAACAAAACAGTCTATCATTAGGTCGATGTCTTGGGCAACGAAGCTTTGACCACGAGAAAATACTTTTCCTGGATTAAAAAGTAGTGCCATTAAATCATTCATAACATGTCGAACAAGTATAAAAATAACATTATCTGAATCCAGATTATTGATATAAGTTGATGCTTTACAAAGTTTAATGCAAGTAACTGCTGCAGCTTCCACTAGCTGCCTACTAGAACTACCATGCATTCCTAGGCCTTTTTTAACACTGTCAATAAATTGCTTTTTCTTTGAATGTCTTGGTGAACAGAGAGAACTAAAATCATTAACTATTTCTTCCAAAACTTTTGGTGAAAGTATCAGAAGCATAATTTGTAAAGGCCAAACAGCTGCAGCTCTTCCCTTTTTATTGTCTGCAAATGTATCAAGAATATCAAATAGTTCTTCACATGCTTTTCCAAGATCTTCATTAGGATTTTTTTGAAGATCAGTAAATTCGTGTGAATAAGTATCCATCCAATTCCAAATTGCTTTCTCCAAAGAATTCATAAGAACTATATGGGCTGATTTTTTAAGTTGTTTAAATTTTTGTATTGTTTCTGTAATAATAATACTCTGTAATATATATATACTACAGATTTTAGTAATATATATATATAGTAATAAATAAATAAATAAATAAATATATATATAGTAACAATGAATTATTATTATCAAATATAGAAATATCAAATATTTACATTATAATATATTTGTATATTCTATATAATCTAATTATATTATATTCTTCTATTTTATTTTTATATATGCAAATGAATATATATATAAAATATTCAAATATTTACAATATGAAAAATTACCATTTAAGAGTTTTATTAATTTACACACATCAACATTAATATGCTGAATTAATTCAATATCACTATAATCAACATTTTCATCTCCACACTTCGCTAATTCTTGAAGTCTAGATGATATTCTGTTAAACACAGCATTAAAAAAATTTAAACTTAGTGCAAATAGAACTTTGCTTGCCAAATTTTTTAAATGAGCATTTTGTGAACTATCATTTGGTACATCTAAAAATAATATTATGTTATTTATATTTCTAAATTATGTTATTTATATTTCTTATTTAATATAAATTAATAAATATTTAATATAAATTAATAAATTAATAAATATATATATATATGTATATAATACTATATACTAAAATATTATTACCTATAAACTGACATATCTCTTTAAGCAAAAACTTTATATTCATAGCCTCATCAAATTTAGCTGTATCTTTTGGTTGATTTGCAAGACATTTTTCTAGAGTGTCTAAAATAATAATTATAGATTCATAACAATGCCGATCTTGATCTGTACTATGAAATATTCGTTGACCTCCAATACATGGCACCATTTCATTAACATTTTGAAGGATTTTGGTGAGACTGGATATCACAAGAGAGAAACGGTATCGAGAAATTTGTATTAAACATTTTTTGTTTCTCTCTTCGTTCATATGAGAATAAGTGGTTTGAGAGCCACTTAAGTGACACGGCAACTACAAAAAACCAATATTTAATTAAAAATATATGAATATTATTTTTAAATATATATATAAATATAAAATATATTTATATATTTTTATATTTATATTTATTATTTATATTTATTATATAATATATATATATATATATATATATATAAATTATATATTAAATATATAATTTCATTATATATATAAGAAATAAAATTTATATAAAAAATATAATAAACTTATACAAATTATTAATTCAGAATAAAAAATATATGATGAAATTCAATAAATTTAATAATTCATAAATATTCAATACATAGAATATTAAATACATTATATTTTTCTATATATTTTTTGCATTTATTGACTTTTATTATTGACTTTTATTTTATAGTGAATATTTTTATACTTACTTATTATTCATATAAAAAATAAAATATTTTTATTATGAATTATATACAATTTAAAAAATATTAAATATATGAAAAGACATTTAAATATTTGAAAAAAATATTTTTTTGTGTTTCATTTTAATTATGACATACTTATTTTTATGTTTTTTTTTTGTTATTTTTAATTATATAAATACAAATTTTAGTCACAAAACCAAAAAATTGAAGCATATTGAATAGTCAAAAAATACTTGTCTAAATTTGTCTAAATATAAGTATATTTATATTTATTATAAATATATATGTAATATATACATATTATATATACATATTACATATACATATTATATATATATGTAATATATATATATTGTAATATATACACATATATAGACGCACGCACGCACGTGTATGTATGTGACCGATCGAAATGTTATATGTCATAATTAAAATTTATAAAATTATGTGCATGTTTATATAATAACAATTGATTGCATGTAAATATATTAAAATGTACCATAGATTCAAATTCTTTGATAAGCGTGCGCGAAGTGAATGCAATTTTCATTCATATATCCGTGACACGACGGAAGCGACGTTGTTAGGTACAGAGGAATTAAACTCTATAGGGTATTCCAAAAATTCATAACTTTTTTTTTTACACAAAATATTTTATTTTTTTGAATAATAAATTATATACATCATTTTTTTAGATATTATCAGAAATAATAAAATAGATATTATATATATGTGAAATTAATATATATTAAATTTTTATAAAATGTAGTATCTTCGATTGTTTCAATAATTATCGAGAATCGAAAAAATAAAAAAATTAAATTTAAATAATTATGTAATTAATATATTTTTAATAATTTGTTGTTTAAATTACAAATTAATATAAATTAGTTTTATATTTATCATAATAGTAAATAAATTATTATGCTATTTTTAATATAATTAATAGATAAAATATTCTTAATAATATGAAAATAATACTTAGATTTTGGAACACCCTATATATACCTTAACTGAATATCTGTTGGGGTGGACAGGAAAGGGAGAAGGGGCGAAGGTCAAACCGTGGACTCCACAGCGTGTAGAGGGAGGAGACCGCGAGAAAGCATCTTCTCATGAATGAACGAACAAACGAATGACAATGCATTCAAAAGAATAATGATATCAATCAATAATAACAATTTTAACAAGTGTAATAATAATTGAAATTTCTATGCTAAATACTATTTTACATGTTATTAATGTATGAAATTGATTTATGATCGTTGCGTCATTCAAAATCTATTTTACATTTGAAGTAAATTTTAGAATACAATTGTTATTGAAATATTATTGAAATATTAATATCTTTAAATAATATTTAAATATTAGTTCTTCATAACAACATTATTACGAACAGTCGCATAACAAAATAGAAAACAATACAAATACAAAAATCATGTATACAGCAGAAAGATATAAAATAACAGTAAACAATACAATTTTAAACTTATTTATTTCGAAAAAAATGACTTTTTATTTTTGAAATTTGTAATAATTTATAAAAATATTTAATTATTCTATTTCGATTTATTTATATAAAATAAAAAAAAAATTAATACAACTGTAATCAAATAGAATATTGAGAATTTAACATGGAAAGAACTAATTGTTATCAATATTATCCATATAATATTATTTGTATTACTCGTTTTAACTTATCATTGAATATTCATTTATAAAAAAAATTAAATTTCTTGTTTTATAATCATTATCACATTGTAATTATATTAATCACACAAAATCAAGTTATATTTAATCAAGTTTAAATATGTATATTATTTAGATAATTTACAGTATATTTAATTGAACAATTGTGTTAATTGTGAACAATTAAATTAATCATTACCGATTTTTTAAAATATTTAAAATAATTTTTGCTAATAACTGCTATTTCTTTAATAAAATTGAATATGAAATTAAGAAACGAAAGAAAAACAACGTATTAATAATGAAGGAAGATATAATAGAAAAAAGAAACTGAGAATAAAAAGTCACAATACATAAAGAATTAAAAAAAAAAAAACAGTAAAAAGTAAATAAAAAAAGAGTGAGAAAGAATGAGAGAAAGCACCGGAAGAGGATAGGTAAGAAAGAGAGAGGACAGCCACGAAGAAGGAAGACGAACAAGACAAGAAAAAAAAACTAAACAGATTTGTAGTTCGAATCACAGATGTACCTGTTCCTCGAAACGTGTGATCAGCAAATTCGCCCATTCTTCTGGCTTTTGTGTGCCCATCGCCGTCCGAGGTTCAGTGACGAGCCGTCATCACGTACGACGATTTATCAGTTCGCTACGTGCACTCGACATCGATACGTCGCCATTTACGAACGTCGACTGCCGAAAGAGCACCGCAGCTACTCGCTCTTTCTCTCCCGTTGGGGAGGGGCGCTGTGATAGAGACCCAAGAATTATAGTGGGGTCTGAGACGAAGATCCTCGCAGATGGAACCGATACTAGCCGAAGTTACCCGATATTCATTTCAGTTGGCCAATCGCGTTATGGTATTTAGGGATTTAAGGATGTAGGAAAAAATTCAAATATCCGCGTTAACATATATAAAATAATATATTTTTAAATTAATTATTATAAGAATAATCATTTTAATAAGATAACAATTATAAAAGAGGATATTTTAAAATTCAGAATTTTATGTATTAAAAACAATTTTATATTTATATTTCAGATATTTTTAAATTAATATTTTTTTTACATATTGAAAACATAAAACTATAACATTATTTTTATTCATTAAATTTTTCTCTGTTTAGTTGTTAAATTTTTTTATATTTAATTTATTTACAAATTATTTTATATAAAAAAAAGAATATTTTAACAAATTTTTCAAAAAAATTTTATTAAATATTATATTTATTTTTTATTAATAATTAATAATTAATTATTTTTTATTAATAATTATTTTTTATTAATAAAATTTTAATTTAATTATTAACGTAATAATTAATTTACTATAATTTTAATTTTTATATATTACTTTAAAAAACTATTAAATTTGAAAATACAGAATTTTAAAATTTTTTTAAAACATCTTCTTAATACACTCCTGAATAATTCTAAGTTATATATACTTATATTAAGTTATATATACACTTATTCTTATTGAATCTTAATTGTGCCATTCATTTTGCAATTTGTTTGTTTCTGTATATAAGATGATAAAAAATTTTCAAAAATTTAATTCAATTTTTCATGAAATATTTATACATTTATTAAGAAATTAATAACGTATTAATAATTATATAATTTTCTCTTAATTATTCTTTTATAATATAATATTTTATTTTTTTATAGCATATTGTCACACATGTTTATCAAACAAATGTAATTGATTAATGTTTGAAAGTAAGTAAGTATATTTGTCTTTAATTTTATTTTATTTTATATAGTATGTCATGTAATTGGCGATACAATAACTGGATAAAAGATGATTGTATAAAAATAAGTTTAAAAAAAAATTTTTTTCATTCAAGATTTTGTTTTTGGTTAAATTAAAATTTGAATTAAAATTTCTCAAATATAAATAAAATTAATAAAGTTAATTTTTGATTAAATATGAATGAATTATTATATTAATTAAAAATGAATGATAAGTTATTTTATAATAATCTATGAGTAATAATGTGAAAGTGAAAAGTATAAAATAAAATTTTATTATTTAAATTCTAAACTCTAATTTTAAGATTTAATTTATAGTCAAATATGAATGAATTATTGATAGGTTATTTTATAATAATCTATAAGCAATAATGTGAAAGTGAAAAATATAAAATAAAATTTTATTATTTAAATTCTAAACTCTAACTTTAAAATTTAATATAATATAATCATGCAGTTAAAAAATTATTTTTGAAAACTAATTCTTAAATAAAAAATATTTTATATTTTTTGCTTATTTTCATGTATATAGAATAACTTATTATCAATTATAATTCATTCGTGTACATATTAAGAATTAGCTAATATATGAAAAATTTTCAAACTTCATGTATTCGAAAATAAAAAAAATTTATTTATTTTTTTTTTTACTTATAATCATTTCAATTATGTTATTATAATTATATGATATTCTATGATATCATATAATTATATGATATTAATTACTATATTTTATATTTCATTATATTATAACTATTTTTTATTTTTTATTTTTTTTAATTTTTAATGTTTAATTTAGTTTTTATTTATCTAAAATCATTTTTGAAAAAAATTTGGATTTGAAATACCAAAACATATATATTTTTTTAATATCGGAATAATTTTTAATGAAAATAATTTAATTAGATTGAAGTAAATCTAAGGATTTTTATAAATTTTTTCTATTTATTTATAAAATATTATAATTTATTTATTTAATTATAAATTTTTTAATCACATTTATTAAATTATAAATAAATAATAAATTATTAATAAAAGTTTGTTTTATTATTTGATAAGATATTATTTACAATAATAAAATATTTTATAAAAAGAGAGGAGACATAATATTATATAAATTTATATAATATTATAATTATAATTTATATTGTATAGATATATTAGAAATTCAGAAATCATATCTATTAATATTTTCATTAAACATCTTTAAACCGTTGATTTTAGTAGTTAAAAGACAAAAATATTGGTATAAAAATATTGGTTTATTTATTAACTTATAAAGAATTTAAATTTCCATTAGATGAAAAGAGAGAAATTTATTTCTATCATATCGCCGTTGATATTTTGCTCTTATCTCGTCTCTAAACTTGAATTGCTTAATAATAAATAAGTTTTAACTAATAATAAATAAGTTAACTATAAGTAACTATAACTAATAAGTAAACTAGTAATAAATAAGTTTTAACTAAAAATTTTATATAATTTTAATTTTTGCGTTTATTTTGATCTTTGATTTTGAATTGATCCTTCAAACGTATCTTACATATCAAATGTGTTAACAACTTATACATATATATATATAATAATCTGGTTTATATATTCAATATAATTTTGGAATTAGATAAATTGAATTAAAAATGATATAATTAATAATCTTATTTTAAATAAAACATTTAATATTAACCTAAGGATGTTCAAAAAATCTATTTAAGATTCATATGCTATATGAACATAGTGAAGTCTATATAAATCAAAAACTCCAATGTTTCTGAGATATAATTATTTTGTTTTTATTATTATGATCAACTTATTACTAGTTTTTCAATATTTATAGAAGATATTTTGTATATTCTTCGCAATTTCCACATATACTTAGCAATTTTTCCTTAAAGACTTCTGTGAATTAAATCTCGAAAATATATATCTGTTATACTATTTGATAAGCATACTGGATTCGATTTTGAGTTAAATTATTTATCAGTGAAGAATTAACATATGTCTGTATGCCAAATATAGCATGGAAATATATATGGAATTGAATGGAAAATATGTAATTTATAAATATTAACAGAAACATTTCATATGTAAAAGTCAATAGTAAGTCAATTATGATGTTAACATAAAACAAAAAATAGTTTTCGACCTATGTTTATTTAAAAGTTTTCTTATTTACTGTATCATATGTACTATATGAATATCGAATAGTTTTTTTTAATATATATATATATATATTTAAATAATTAATTTTTAATGTGCATAATTAATAATTAAACAAAATAAAAAAAAATTTTTTAATTTAAAATATATATATACATACATATGCAAATTATATATATATATATATTTCAATAAATGAATATATAATAATATATATTGAATATATAATATATATATATTTAAATATATATATATATTTCAATAAATATATAAATCTTGTTTATTTATTAAGTATATATTATTTATCAAACAATATGATATACAAATGTAATATTCTATTATATACAATTTATTTATATCAATAATTTAAATAATACATAGATATTAAATAATTTTATAGAATATATGTGCATTTTATTTTATTAAATAAATCTAAATACAATATGAATAAAATCACAAATACACATTTATCATAATTCATATTAAATACAAAGTCATATTTTAATTCTTAAGTTTCTACTTGTGAAATTTTTTTATACAATTTATTTGCAAATTTTTTGATTCATTTAAATATGAAATCATAATATTGTCAGATTTTAGATACTGAATTACAATATAAATTAGTATAATATTAAACATTTATAATTTGACATTTATTCATTATTTAACAAAAAATAATTGCATTGTAATTATTTGTTTATGTAATTATTTTTATATTGTACTTTTATACTATTATTTTGAATTAATTCAATATTATTAAAAGAAAAACTCTAGAATTAATAATAATTAAATAATAAATATTTTCAATTTTTAAAAACAATGAATTGAATAAATTCAGACATTAATATTTAAACTTTAAAAAAAATATTATAGAGATCATATTATTATTTATTATATTGATTGCAATAATAATATAATAATTTTTATCATATATGTACAATGATTAAATAAATTTGTTTTAACATTTTAGTAATATTAATTTCTTATTTTGGAATATAATAATAACTTATACTGAACACATTTCAAAATGTCTATTATAATATAATGTTTATAATTAAAAATAATTAAAAAAACATAATTCTCTTATTTTAAAATATATGATATATAGGAACACGTATTATACAATAAAGTTTTAGTTAGAAATCGCCTACTATTATGAATCATTTTTCAAATGATGATGATTGATTTTTAATCATAAGTTCTTCTTCCAGAAAAGATATTACTGAATTTAAGACATCAATATCTCGTTGGCGATGTTTTTCAATACAATGTAAACTTTTTGGATCTATATCTGAAATACCGATGTTACACACAAAGCTGAGTCCGTCCGGAAGTCGTATTACATTTTTATCGACGGTAGATGATATTGCATTTCTATATTAGAAAAAAAATATATATATATATAATATAAAAAATAATATAAAAATATATATATAATATAAAATATATTAATATAAAAAATTTTATTTTAAATTATTCTATTATATAAATAATAATTATATTATATAAAATATAGATAATTCTATAATATAATATAATAATTTTTTATCAGAGCATCGGTAATAGCATTAATCAATCAATAATCAACAATTAATAATATAATTAGCCACTATTCACAGAATAAAATATTTGGCACTTACGGATTTATTTCTCGAAATGACATTAATATCGAACAATCTCTAGCACATGAAAACAATAAATAATTTTGCAAACATAATAAACTTTCGGTATTTATAGTTAAATATGTTTCTTTTTCGTTACAATGTATATTATTTTCATTATGT